GTTCTTGAGATATCGCGGCAACACCGTTTTCCAACTCCAAAAGCAAATTTGCCTGCTGTGACCTTGAAAATGGGGTCAAGGTCACCAAAACTGACTGGTGTCTGCGGTGTCTGTATATACACCATAGTTCCAAATATGAAGACAATCCTGCAATTAGTTCTTGTAATATCGCGGCAACACTGTTTTCCAACTCCAAAAGCAGATTTGCCTGCTGTGACCTTGAAAATGTGGTCAAGGTCACCAAAACCGACTGGTGTCTGCGGAGTCTGTATATACACCATAGTTCCAAATATGAAGACAATCCAGTGTTTAGTTCTTGAGATATCGCGGCAACACCGTTTTCCAACTCCAAAAGCAGATTTGCCTGCTGTGACCTTGAAAATGGGGTCACGGTCACCAAAACCGACTGGTGTCCGCTGAGTCTGTATATACACCATAGTTCTAAATATGAAGAAAATCCAGTGTTTAGTTCTTGAGATATCGCGGCAACACTGTTTTCCAACTCCAAAAGCAGATTTGCCTGCTGTGACTTTGAAAATGAGGTCAAGGTCACCAAAACCGACTGGTGTCTGCGGTGTCTGTATATACACCATAGTTCCAAATATGAAGACAATCCAGTGATTAGTTCTTGAGATATCGCGGCAACAAACAGGTGGGACGTATTGACAGACGTACGGAGGTACGTACGGATGGTCGTGAATACTATATCCCCCGCCGCGCGAAAAAAAATGTCATTGAGTAAAAGTAGCACAGACGATAGCACTGAATATACCGAACCATATTTCCGAAGCAATCAAGAAGTTATAACCGAATCCGATACTATAAACGCATCATTAGATACATCAATTCAGAGGATACAGGAAACTTTAGAACGCTGGACTAATAGAGGTTCAGGTTGGGGTGTGGATAAAATCGATAGTTAATATTTAGACATAGCAAATTATATGCCCTTCAAAGGTGGATCTTATATAGATTTACCCCCGTATTATAAGAAGAAAAAAGCCATAATTAATGTAAAAAATAAATCCGATGACTGTTTAAGAATGATGATAAGATCTGCATTGTTCCCCGTAGATTCTAAAATTGCAAATAGACCTCCTTGCTATCCCCAAAACGATGGACTCAACTTCGATGGTATAGACGAACCTACAACAATCTCACAAATTGATGAGGTGGAAAAGCAAAATAATTTAGCTATAAATGTTTTCGGACATTCTTCTTAAGGAATTGTTGTACACAGGATAAGCTCCGCTCCAGAACATATTCCCAGAATCAATTCATTTCTAATCGAAAAAGATGGAAAATATCATTATACATGGATAAAGAGTTTAAACAGGCTATTATATGATCAAACTAAATATAAGGGAAAGAAATATTTCTGCGAAAGATACCTGCATGGGTTAAGCAGACAAGATCTATTAGAAGCACATAAAGAAGACTGTAGAGGTGTTGGACAGACTGCTATCAGGATCGATATGCCTAAAGAGGGGAAAAATATATTAAAATTTGAACATTATTGTTATCAAATGCCAGTACCGTACGTAATTTACGCCGACTTCGAAGCGCTTATCAAACCTATAGAAAATAGTCAAGATAATAATCAAGATAGTAGTTTTACTTAGAAAACTCAAGAACATATTCCTTGTGGGTTTGGATATATAGTTGTAAGGTATGATGGGAAAACAAACCCGCCCGTGATTTACAGAGGTCCCGATGCAGTGGGAAAGTTACTAGAATATCTACAAAATGAAGAGAGAATAATCAGGGAAAATTTATCGTGTAAGAAACGAAGGATAATTGGAGGGCCTATAAGAGGTCAATGAGTTGTCATGTTTGTAATAAACCCCTGAATGGGGATTCCGTAAGAGATCATTGCCACGTCACGGGTAATTATCGGGGAGCCGCGCATAACGAGTGTAACTTGAAACTGAAAATGAATTCTCAAACAATACCCATCCCCGTTGTGTTTCATAACCTTAGAGGATACGATTCACATCTCATTATGCAAGCTATCTCAAAGACGGACGGCGGCTTAACATGTATTCCTAATAATATGGAAAAATATATATCGTTCTCGTTGACTATATAAACTATACATTATACGGACAAGGATGGGAAAGCCAGAATAAAGCAAAGTAATGGACTTAGATTCATAGACTCCGTACAGTTTGTTATCTTCCCTGGACAATTTAGCTAATGCGAACAATCCCGATGACTTTGCGATAACAAATCAATATACTGATAGGTTAACGCGTCATTTGTTGCTGAGAAAAGGTGTGTATCCTTACGAATATATGGATGATTGGTCTAGATTCGACGAAACTAAATTACCACCTCTTGAATCATTCTATAGTAACTTAACAGAATCTAAAATAACCGATGCCGATCATGAACACGCTCTGACGGTCTTGAATAAATTAGGTTGTAAGAATTTAGGCGATTATCACGATCTGTACTTAAAAACCGATGTACTGTTACTCGCCGATATATTCGAGATATTTAGAAAGACATGTTTAAAACAATACGGCTTGGACCCTGCATGGTACTATTCCAGTCCAGGACTATCGTGGGATGCATTGTTGAAGAAGACCGGCATAGAACTAAAATTACTTACCGATTACGATATGCACTTGTTTATTGAGAAAGGATTAAGAGGTGGTATATCGATGGCAGCGAAAAGGTATTCTAAGGCTTATAATAAATTAGTGGAAGGATATGATCCGAGTAAACCCGACACGCATATATTATATCTCGACGCTAACAATTTGTATGAATGGGCTATTGGGTTTTGAGTGGGTCGATGATATCAATGCGAATGATGCGAATAAAGGGTATATACTAGAAGTTGACTTGGAATATCCAAATTCATTACATAAAGATCATAACAGTTATCCCCTAGCTCCCGAAAAATTAATGGTTAATAAAGATTGGATGTTGTAATATCAACACTCCTTGATGGGTAATACAAGGTTAGCTAACGTAGAAAAACTAGCACCAAATTCGATGGATAAGACAAAATATATAGTTCACTACCGAAATCTCCAGTTATATCTATCGTTAGGTATGAAACTAAAGAAAATACGCAGGGTTCTAAAGTTTGATCAAAGCCCTTGGATGGAGCCCTATATAAGGCTGAACACAGATTTAAGAAAGATGGCCACCAGCGATTTTGAAAAGAATCTATATAAGCTCATGAATAACGCAGTATCTGGTAAAACTATGGAGAATCTAAGGAAGTGTGTTGATGTTAAATTAGTCAGATCTAATGAGGAAGAAAGACTCAGGAAACTTATAGCCAGTCCGGCTTTTAACAGAAGCAAGATATTTGATAATGACTTGGCCGCACAACATATAAAGAAGAGTAATATAAAATTCAACAGACCGTGTACATTATTCACAACATTATTCAACAGTAGAACGTTCAAACACGAGATGAACTCTTTAAGAAGTTACAATCATAGGATATATGGATTAAGAATGAACAAGACATCATTATCCCCCTTAGATACAAAGAGATGGATTGATAATGATGGTGTAACTACCTACGCTTATGGTTATTTAGGGCGGTAATACTGTATCGTTGGGAACTATGAACAACTCTTCTCGTACAAATGCCCTGCCCGGTCCATCTTGAAGATAATAAAGAATAGGCTCTCCTTCTTTCATAATCAATCGACTAATGTTATATGTCTTAAGAGACCAAATCGGATCGGTTGCGCGGCCTAGGCCTCCTTCAAGTTCACTTACTCTATCCGGAAGTTTTTGTTCTTTGCCTCTCCGCGGTGCTGAAGATTCAGAAGTCACAGATTTCATTTTAATCGCATCGGATGGTTTCTTCCCGATTAATCTCGTTACTTCATTATTCAGCGCTGATACAACAGCTGATAATCGTGTCACCCGGTTGATCTCAATCATTCCGATTTCATTTCTATCCCATACTGATAGCCAAACAAACGTTCTGCTAATGTCCGGTTAAATCTTTTAACGATAGCTTGACTACGGTGGGCCTCTTTTTCACCACGCCTGATTTCAACATCGTGCTTTGTTAACAGTTTAGTTACCGATCCCATAAACTCGCGACCAGGATCTACTTGAAATAGCTTAGGCCATTTTAGTGGTCCGGGTTTATAGATGCGGCTTAGTGCATCAGCTACTTCTGTTGAATCTTTCGAGGTTAATGGCTCAGCCTCTTTGTATCGACTAGCCACATCCACTATGGTTAAAGCGTATTTATACGTTTTGCGTCTTACCTTATCGTGGGGAAGAAACAAGAGGTCAGCCTGATGAACTTCATTCGTTGTAAAAATATCAAATTTCTTCCTCGGTATATAACGTGGTGCCGGTAAATATATTTGCCACATCGCTTGTTTCTTTAAACAATCCTTGGCGACATCTTTAGATACCTTAGCCGCGGTGGCTAATTTTTTTATTGCTCCTATACCTTTCCAATATCCTCGTGGGCTATAGTAAATTTTATTCATTATTAATTAATATTGATGTTTCTTTTAATACGACTCATGACGATCTTTGAATCACATCAGCGTTTTGACATAAAAAATTCCATCTGTAGGGGTGGTATAGGTATATAAATCTGGCTCCAGTGGAAGTGGTCCAGAACCCCTATTACCTATAAAAATTTATATCATAGAAGCATTGATTGACTCCAGGTGGTGGTGAGCTAGAGCCAATTTAACTTAAACTCATGATGATCGTTGAATCGCATCATCATTTTGACATAAAAAATTCCATCTGTAGTAGCAGTATAGGTATATAAATCTGGCTCCAGTGGAAGTGGTCCAGAACCCCTATTACCTATACTACTCATGTACAGGTGCAAAAGTTCATGAGGGGGGAGCAATCCCACATCACCCATCTTTATGATGTCTGGCATGTAGCTAAAGGTATATATGTAACTTGGAAGAATGCTTCACTGAAACTGTGCACTTAGTTTGATTACAGTATACCGGGAGTGTATTTCGGTCTGTTTCTAAACATTTCAGTTTTAAAGAGAGAAAAATATGTACAAAAGAAACTAGAATCAGCATCAAAGAAGAAGGACTGTGATGTGATAAGACTGTGGATCAAGTCCATCTCTAATCACATGTACTGGGTGGCTGCTGGTGGGGGAGAGGCACAGTACATGCTGGAGAAGTGGCAGTCAGTTACCAACCATGTCTCCAACATCCACTCACACCAAGGAAAGCTGTACACAGAATGCCCACATGGACCAATTGATCAAGAGCGAGATTGGATCAGGCCAGGTAATGAGACGTACTATACATGCTATAAGCACTTTCTAAAACATTTGTCCTCAAAACGAACAGTGTAGTTGGTCATATGCAGAAAATACAACTTAGCAGACAATAATGATGTGAGTGAATATATATGAAATTTCAAGTTAAATATTTGTGCTGGTTTTTATGTGTGATGGCAATTTTTGATATCAGCACAGTTCCTTCATTTGTTGTTCTTTTTAGGAAGCCGTGCTTACAATGCAGTGAAGGAAGTTGTGGAAAGCAAATATCTGCTACGTGGTATTCCTAAATTGTCAACTCTCTATCAGACCTATTCACTTGAAGTTTTCCACAATGTGGTAAACCACTTTGCACCAAAGTCACATCACTTCTTCTACCCAGCAATGAAAGCAAGGTATGGTACATAACAAAGACTTATCCAAACATTGCCATAAAACAGAGTTATATTTGAACTTCTTGTGCACACATGGCTGCTAAAGATATTTGAAGATACATGTATGAACCCACTTTCTAAAAGGGAAAATATATTTATAAGTCAAGTCAGAATAGGTATTGGTTTATGCATCTGTGTATGCTCCTTTAAAGATTCATGAACATATTTTTCAGGATGTACATAGCAGCATTTCACTACAATGAAAACAGCCAGAATACCCAAGCAGTGACCAAGGCTGGAGAGCCCAGGTGGACAATCAGTTACCCCAAAGCCAAGAAGGGGACATCCTCCGTGGCCAAGCCAGTAAACAAGGGACCAACATATGGTAAATATAATACAAACAATCAATCATAACTGTAATTTGACCCGTATTTTCTCGCTTTTTGACAATTGGTGACTTGTGTTGAACTGGTGCTCTCCAGTTGGATAAATCACATTTCTCCATTTCATTTTTTTTTTTTTTTTAACTAATTAATCAACTAAGGACAATTGCATTTCATCCTCATCTTTATTCTCATCTCAGCTTTTGTTCAGACAAGAGCAATACTTGGTATGTTATTATAGTGGAAATTGATTCATAACAAGAGTTGTTGTTATGGTTGCAAAAACAATAATACTGAAATTGTGTTACAAAATGTTGTTTAATACCTTCAATGTAAAACTTACAGAGTATGTGGAATTCTTGCTCAATGCAATTGTGGAGAGAAGAAAAAAGTTTCCTTCCTACAAGATGGCAGGAAGTGACTATGAAAGACAGACAGCTGATTGTCCAGGATTTCTTACACAGAGTTTTGTTAGAACAAGTAAACAGGAACTTGTGAATTCTCTGACTGATATAAACTGAAATCATAAGTACCTAATGTATAAATGTCTGATGTATAAGCTTAAGTCATAAGTTCCTGGTTAAAGAACTGAAATCATAAGTGTCTGATGTATGACCTGAAATCATAAGTGTCTGATGTATGAACTGAAATCATAAGTGTCTGATGTATGAACTGAAATCATAAGTGTCTGATGTATGAACTGAAGTCATAAGTGTCTCATGTGTGAACAGAAGTCATAAGTGTCTCATGTATGAACTGAAATCATAAGTGTCTGATGTATGAACTGAAATCATTAGTGTCTCATGTATGAACTGAAGTCATAAGTATCTCATGTATGAACAGAAATCATAAGTGTCTGATGTATGAACTGAAATCATAAGTGTCTCATGTATGAACTGAAATCATAGGTGTCTCATGTATGAACTGAAGTCATAATTGTCTCATGTATGAACTGAAGTCATAAGTGTCTCATGTATGAACTATAATCATAAGTGTCTCATGTATGAACTGAAGTCATAAGTATCTCATGTATGAACAGAAATCATAAGTGTCTGATGTATGAACTGAAATCATAAGTGTCTCATGTATGAACTGAATACATGTACGTTCTGTAAATTGAAAGATTTTGTTCGGATCTAGGAATGAGCAATGTACATGACTAGTGTTCTTAATCGGTGACTTGAAATTGTATAATATTGTTACCATACCGGAATAATTATGTTCAGATGTCATAATTCATTGCGTGTCAGAACAGGTCTTCAGCAACCCATGCTTGCCATATTAGGTGACTATGCTTGTCGTAAGAGGCGACTAACGTGATCTGGTGGTCAGGCTAGCTGACTTGGTTGATGCATGTCATCGTATCCCAACTGCATGGATCGATGCCCATGATGTAAATCACTGAATTGTCTGGTCCAGACTCGATTATCTACTGACTGCCGTTATATATCTGGAATATTGCTGAGTGTGTCGTTAAACAGACAAACATAATTCATTGCTACTTCACTTCTGTTGTTATTCCAACATGTCTTTGTGATGTTAGTCTAGACATTGTATTAATTGATAAATTTTTTAACATTATGTTAAAAAGTAGTATGCAAATAAATTATTTACACCTTCAGTTTTGTTCTAGTTGTTCCTTAATTTGATTGCAGGTCTTTCTTTGGAACTGATCACACTTTATTCATGTTATATATTACCATGATTACTGTAAGGCATTGAAGAATATTTCTTTTTCACTTGCTGACAGTTTAGGAGAATATTTGATGGATTACAATGATAAGGATATGTCAATTTTAATCGATGCAGCTACATTTACTATAGTAATTATCAGCGGTTAAGAAGGAACATACTTTCGAATTGGTTCGTTATCGTCTAGGGGGCCAGCCAAGCTCACAAATTGAAGGAGAGCCAACTGTAGGACGTGTATGTTGGTGAAATTTACTGAGAATCCTTCATGTTGAGTGATGCAATCCAAAGGTTCAGCTCCTTCCATTTTCTCTCTCGCCCCAGCATAAAAGTGGCAACATTCCGACTCAGGTCGGGATGACATAGGCATACAGTTGCCACAGTCACACCTATCAACAAAATTATGATATAGCTAATAATACATAAATAAATGCAAACCTATCAATTTCTCTATGGTACAGTTCCCTAAAAATAATAGCTTTTCACTTATTTATTATTTATGGCACATTTTCAAAATTCACACTATAAAAGTTTATAATTATTTAACATTTCATGTGTCCCATTTTTGAAAATTTATATTCCACAATAACTATCACAACAGCTTACCAATAGCTAGACGTCTATGGAAATTGAATGTGTTATAAAATTGAACTCCGATGCACCGGCAACATTGATAATGTTACACTAACGAATTTAGGGTACTGTGCCTCTGTACGTGTATTGACTGACGTACGTAATGGTATTTCACAGAAAGGTTGATCCCCATATTCGATCGTTCTCTTGGGTATTTTTCGCCAGAAGAAGTTTTATAACGCATTTAATAATTAAGGTGAAAAGTCTGAAATATTATATTGAAACGATTTACTTGTAACTCGCGATTTGATCATTTACTGTCCGTTATATATAGGCGTGGCTTCGCATATTATTATTGGTCTAACATTGCGGTAATTGTGACTACACATTTTACCGTGACAGCTGAAAGATTGATTCCATATTTAATCTGTTTTCCTGAATATATGGCACGCTAATTACTAGCATACCAGTCTGTGGGAGGCCTATTCATAACATCGTCGAGATCGGGATCGTCACTGTTTTCTTGTGAACTGCTGGAATCGTCAGTATTCTGGTCGTTCTTGCTGCCAGAAATTGGTTCAAATTGAAAAGGTTGTACTTCTAAGTCAGTATCTGTATGGGGTAGACCTTCCAAATCCATTTTTGACCTTATGGGTCAAATTATTGGTGAAGATAAAAGTAGATTTCCGAGAGCGATTCGGCGCGGCACCGTTGCGCAACTTGTGTGTTTTGATGCTACAACTGTCCGGTATGACATTACACGATCACGTGACTGGCTACCTCATTATCTTACGTAATCGCCAAATGCTTTCGATGATCGTCCGTTTTAGATTGCAAATTCAAGCTATATAACGAAGTGTTACTGTTTCAAACTGTCTTGAGTGTATAACATAAATACCTAAGTATTCATTAATAGTGAACATAAAGCATGTGTAAAAACCTTTTTAAGAATCCTTTAAATGAATTTGTAAATGTTTGGATGTCAGATCTCCAGATTTTATTTATCACCAAACATCATTCTTCCAACTTTTTCAGTTTGTATCCAGTAATAAGCAGTGTCGTAAGTGTAAAACTGATAACAGCTTCAGTGGCAGAGCCATCAGTAATGTCATTTGATTGTGACAACATGGTAACAATGACGTCACAATGGTCTGAAAAGCATTGTGATACAATTTCATTGCAGCGATATTTATAATGTAGATATCGCTTGATCTCGCCCAAGCGATATCTCCTGTGGGAGCCAGTTTTGGATGATAAATTATTGTGCTTCGTGACAAAAGTAATCTCTGGTGTTGATGGTGGTTGGGCGTCCTCTTTCAGAGCATATGCAGTGAATGGAAGTTTGGTGTGTGGTCTTAATCATGAACTTGTATCGTGCAAAAACCGAATGCCGACCCCACTTACAATTGGGAGCATAAACTGAAAATCAACCCGTTTGTCACAGTGGAATACTTATCTTCATATCTTCAAATCATACTAAATGATTAATATATAGGAAGGGAATATATGGATGTCAACTTCTTAATTATGAGGAACACAACGTTTCGGAGTATATGCTTACTCCTTCATCAGGTGAATGAATGCCATGAGCCAGAGAGCATGTACATGTGAGGACATGTAAGGACAACACCTTCCTTCCTAGATGGGTCCCTCCAAACCACAGATGATGGACTATGAACATCAGTGTACCACAAGCCCACACACACAGACCAGTACATCCAATACAACTCCTGCCACCATCCCCAGATAAAACAAGCCATCATCGCCACCCTCACCCGACGTGCCAATTCCATTTGGCACCCAGATGCCCTCAGCAGTGAACTGGACCATCTCAAGGAAACCTTCACCTCCCTCATCAGCTATCTGCCCACCTAGTCTCCAAAAGCATCCGCAAGGCCCTCAGAAACTCCGATCCCCGGCCCAAACCAGCTCCATCGCCCATCAGAATCATCATACCCTACCTTACTTACTTTGGAGATTTAACGTGCGCTTTCCGACTGATGCGTATTTCGCACACGGGCCCGGCCAGGCCATTTAATGTGTTTCCGAAAGGGGCGAAAGTGGTCTGTGCAACCCAAGAGGGGGGTTTTAGGGGTTGCTTATATAGAATTTGGGAATTTTGAGATTTGGAATAGATGCCGATGGGATTGGGGAAGAGAACTAAGGGAGCTGGGTATGGTGGATGTTTGTTTGTTTATGTGATTTTGATTTGGTAGGTTGCCCTACCAAGGCCCTGACACTCATCAGATTTCCCGCCTCATCAAGAACAAAGCCAGCATAGATGTCACCATCTCTAGCGGCAAGTCCATCAAGACCCATCAACAAGCCAATGGCAGAGGCTCAAGCAGTGTAAGTCCCAACCCCCGAGGATGTATATACAAGATCCCCTGCAACTGTGGCCACCATGCAGTACATTGGAGAAACCCTCAGATCCCTCAAGTCCAGACTCAAAGAACATCGGACCTCTGTTAACAAACTCGACCTGAAATCTGCTATTTCCGAACACATCCTGAATAACCCAACCATAACATAATGTGTGAAGCCACCAAAGTCCTGTCTACCAACAACAACAATTGGCGACAAAGAAAACTACAAGAAACCATTGACGTCAGGAGACACTAGCCAGCCATGAACCGTGACCAGGGAACCTATCTGCCTTGTGCTTGGGACTTATTGCTTTGACCTTTGTCGGTGCTAGTTACCTAGCTGGCTTCCATTTGCCTATTGCTATGTCCCTTCTTTCACCTTTCAGTGCAAATTACCCCCCGGCCTCCCGACTGCCCAGTGTCCATTGCCTATTACTTATCTATGATAACTGAAGTACTGGCTTCCGTACCATCAGCACTAATTACTGTAAAGTGTTGGCTTCTATTGTCTATTGCTAATCACCTATCAGCACCACCTGTTAGCTTCCCTTGTTAGTTTCTACCCCTTGTTATCTTATTAATGTTGTTGTCCTTACATGTACATATAGATGCTCTCTGCCTCATGGCCTCAGGCCCTAGTCATACCAATCCCTAAACCTAATAAACCAGCTAATCAAGCTAACTCATATAGACCAATATCCCTAACTTCAAACTTATGTAAAGTAATGGAATCAATGGCTAAAAATAGATTACAACATTACTTAACCCAAAATAACATCATAAACCCAGATCAAAGCGGTTTCACTCCTGGCCGCTCAACCCTAGATAACCTCACCCGACTAGAACAAGATATTAAGACAGGACAGCTAAATAAACAATATACCACAGGCATCTTCTTAGACTTCTCTAAAGCTTTCGACATGGTATGGCACGATGGGCTAATACAAAAACTTAAAAAAATAGGACTCAAAGGTCAGATAATAAACTACATCCAGGACTTCCTAAACAATCGTAAAATAACCGTGGGTATAGACCAAACTCTATCGGACCAATGTCCCCTAGAAAATGGTACTCCACAGGGCAGTATCCTCAGCCCCACCCTCTTCAATATAATGATAAACGATCTATTCGAGGGCCTATCCCCTAAAGTAAACACATCAAAATTCGCGGATGATGGAGCCATCTGGATCCGCACTAAAAGCATGAACATGGTCCAAAATTTACTCCAAAAATCTCTTAATAAAATACAACAGTGGGCTGACAAATGGGGCTTCTCCCTTAACTCAGAAAAAACAACAGGAATAGTATTCAAACATAAAAACATGAAACCCGCCTCCCCAATCCTCCAGCTAAACAATCAAACAATCAAATTTCAAAAACAAACCAAATTCTTAGGACTTATTTTCGATGAACATCTCACCTGGGATGCTCACATCCAAAACCTAACAACTAAATGCAGTAAAGACCTAAACACCCTAAGATGCCTAACTGGTTCTAACTGGGGAGCATCCAAAGATACCCTCCTCTCTCTCTACATATCACTAATTAGATCAAAACTAGACTACGGCTGCGCCATATACAACACCCTAAACAACTCTCTATCTAAAAAACTTGACTCAATACAATATCAGGCTCTCAAACTAATTACACGCACCCAACATGGCACCTCCTACACCTCACTTCAGGCCTTAACAGGAGAAATGCCACTAAGTCTACGCAGGGAACAGCTAAGCTTAAATTTCTGGG